GTGGCTCCTGGGACCCGGCCGGCGCAGAAGCTGCGGATACCCGTCGTCTGGAACTCCGATGGCGGCCACCGTGAACCAGGACCTGCGCAGGGAGCGGGCCGCCGCCAGCTTCAACCCGGATCTGCTCACGCACATTCTGGACGGCGGCGCGGAAAACACCCGGCGCCGCCGCGAGATCGGTGAGCGCGGCGGGCTTGGCCGCCTCCCGTCCCTCGTTGAGGAAGCTCCAAGGGTGCTGGGGGTGCTGTAGGCCGTAGGCTCTGGCCCAGCTTTAGGGGAGCCGGGAGCCTCACTTCCGGCGGCGGCCTGGGGCGGGGTGGGAGGGTCCCCACTGGAGAGGGGGACCGCGTGGCCGTGACTCTGGAATTCAGAGAGGCGTAACCGAGCCCGAATTTCTGCCTTTTGATCCCTTTGATCCCTTCCAGAGAACCTGATTCTCAGAGACCCAGACTTCTTCCAGCATGAAGACTTGAACTTCCTCACTCGCAGCGAGCGTTACGAGTTGGCTATAAAGAAGAGTGCCACCATGGTGAAAAAGATAAGAGACTTTGGCATCTCAGACCCCAATGAAATCATGTGGTTTAAAAAGTAGGTGTATCTTCGTGTAGATCAAGTTTTTATCTGTGATGAAAGCCCAGACCTCAAATCCGCCGTCTGCGGTGTGCTTTTTTCATCGTGCTAGACGTTTGAAGACTCAAACTGGCACATTTTCACGCCACTTTCAAGTTGTACGTCACTCGTTCTTGGGCATTTCTTTTAGGTTTCTGCATTTTAGAAGGACGCCAATATTTTTGTCAGTAAAGTTTAGATGATATAAATGATGGATATTCAAGAGCCAAGAAAAATGAAACATGCTACAAGTTCTGCCTTTATGTAGTAATAGTCATTCCTCCTGTATTCTTTGATTTATTTATTTACTTATTTATTTTAATTTTAATTTTTTTTTTATGCTTACAGCACTCTTCCTGTGTCCTGTATACTGCTGCCACTAGTGCATTTGGTATCCTAGGTGTTTTCAGTTTGACCTGGTTATTATTATCAACATGAAGTAATTTACTCTGGCCATTAGGACTACCCTCAGAACTTCTTTCAATTTTAGTTAGAAACATACAGTTAATTTATTTTTGGTAGCCCAAATCAGTACTAACTAACTTCGAAATGCTCTTATTTTTAATATTCGTAACTCATGGCTGTGGGGATATTGAGATAGAGCAACTCCTAGAAGATTATGTTTCTGAATTACCCAAGTTGGGTTTGTAAGACTTAAAATATTAGTAAGGTTTTATTCTTCCTTAACACGAGAGGTTTCTTTTGTTTTTTGCTTTTGGATGGTTGATGCAGTGTGGTTCAGAGTTGGTTAGATTTCATAATCTGTGGTGATTCATAATGTATAACCAGACTCAAGTGAAGTCACAATGAAATAAGTCAGAGTCCTTTCTGTGGTTTAAAGATCGGTAGACACCAGCCAGTTGTGTATTATTTTTCATGATACAGACCTTACTGTTTGGGGAATATAAAGTACAAACTTTAATACATGCTTTGACATCCTTTCAGTATCTTTAAGCTATGACAGGGATGTCAACATATGTTAGAGGAGGGAATTGAAAATTAATCTTGCCAGTTACTGAGTGCCATCAAGTTGAAGCCTGCCATTGATTGTCACATCCATGTTTTTATGTACCACTAAGAAAATTAACTATGATGTAGCAGTAATTGTGAGACGCGTTGGATTTCTTAAATTCTAAAACTGGGGCAGGGAGTCATGCTAGAATTCATGAAAAACTAATATTTCTCTTTCTGGGGATTTTGGACATTTACTGGTCTCTTTTACATCCATTTCTCCTATCAAAATACACCATTTGTGAGAATTTTTTCAAGTATTATTAAAATACTTTGAGATTTCGCAATTTGAGCAACAAAAGAACTTTTCAGTCCTTGAGAAAATAAGACCTTGCTGTGTGAGGGATGTTAAAGTTGTTTTTCTAATCTCCTTTCCTGTAATTTTGTCTTTTAACTATACCGTTTGCTATGAAAAAAAAAAACTGTAAATGTTCTTCAGAGTAATTTAAAATTCTAATGAGAATCAGTCATGGTTTTTGTTATCCTTCTTAGGTTTTTAACGCTAGTTTCTAGAAAAGCATCTTCAGGAGGGAGTAAACATAACTTAAAAACACTCAGATGTTGTTCCTGCAGTAATTTTCCAGTGGCCTCAAAAAAAAATATCTCAGTATGTTTATTAAGAACGTAAATACTTTACAGTCTTTATTTTGGCACGTATTTCTTCTTCTCAATTTCCTAGAATTAATTTCGTCTCGATGTCATCACTTTGTGCACGCAACACCTCCTCAGTTCCTTCACGGGAATAGGAGTGTCTGAAGAATATTGCTTCCGTTTTTAGCACCTTAATTACTACTTATATTTCTCAGGAATTCTTGTAGATGCATTTCCTCTTTTCGTAAGACAGGATTGTTAGGGAGTGCTCTGAAGCTCTTGGCTTCGAGAATGATTTCTGCACTCAGGATGCTTGGGCTCGCACTTCAGGGAGGCGAGTGTGTTTCGTGAAGTGTGTTACCAAAGGAGTGAATCACTGCTAATCCTAATTACTTGGGAGCCCGCTCACCTCTTCTGTTCATGCTTCTCCGTTCCCTTTTCCTCCATTCAGTTTGATTAACATCTGATGTTAGTATAAAAAAAATCGTAGCACCTCACGGTCAGAAAACATTGTCCGGGCAGTCCTTGGATGTTTGAGTGTGTCCCCACACCTTGGAAAGGTGACTTTTCCACCCTAACGATGGTGAAGTCATCTCAGGGCCTCCGCAGAAGTGAGTTGGCAGCCTGCCCGCTCTTCGCTGTAATTCATGCTGTACTTATAGACTGGGATAACTGGTGGCCACACCACTTCCTACTCATCTCTTAAGACATAAAGATCAGTTAGAAGAGATTTATTTTGCATTTTGAGCTAACTTAGCTAACTAGCTAGAACAAAATAGATTCCTATGAAATCTGTAACAACATAGCCGATGCTGACTGGGTATGTAATTTGTATTTCGACTGTTTCACAGAATCTATTTTACGAGAAAATAGTTGAAGACAGAATATCATTACATTTCAAGTGTCCTTAACGTGGAGTAATTTTCAGAGACCACTGGCGATAAATGTTTAACATGCTCACGTTACTTTCTTACCCAGCTGTGTAAACTCTGAAGACCTTTAGGGATCTGTGCTTTGGTCCTGGGATATATATTTACCACCCTGGATGTTTGCTTGCGTTATCCACAGAAAGATAGTTTAAATTATTCCTGAGGCGCTTTTGTTAACAGCTCTACAAATAAGTGTTCTATGGCATTCTTTTGGTTTTAATGAAATAAAGCAAAAACAGACACACTCTAAAAAACCTAACCAGTCGATCCAACACATAACACCTACAAAACCAAAAACGAGGTGTTTTTAGGCTAGAACAATGGGTGGAATTTGCTTCCCGAATTAAGTATAGAATTAAAGTGGAATTCTGGCCCTGAAATGATGTGGGGCAGAAAGGCTACCGCCAGATTCTGCCCTCGGCTTTTCAGGTGGTAATATGGTAAAGTTTACATTTACCTTCAGAAGAAAGGAGTTTAAGTTTTCCGAACCTTCATCCTAAGGGCCAGGCTGTCTAGCGAGAATGGGGGTGGAACGCAGTTTTTAGAGTAAGGCTGAGATCCTTTTCTTTTCTCTCCTGTAGACTAAATCAGATCGTTTTTGTGGAACCTGTGAGCGTCCATTACCTCATGTTTATCCAAACCTTGCTGAATCAGGGCACCTCTGCTCAGCAAGAGAAATGGCTGCTTTCGTCCAAAAGACTCGAGATAATTGGCACCTACGCCCAGACGGAATTGGGCCACGGTCAGTCTTCATTTGAGGGTCAGTGGGTAACCCGCCTCAGGACTTCAGTTAACAGATGGCTCCTGGCATTTGATATTTTTCTGCCACGACACACTTGGGATTTTATTTTTAGATTGCTATCTTAACTAAAAGTCAGCGCCTCGTCTTCTCTTAGGCCATGGCCCTGTAAACTGGTTCAGTTGCCACGTGTACCCATCTTAACGGATGATGAGCAGCTCGGAAAGATGGGGTTGAAAATGTGGCACTGCGCCCCATTGTGCTGGTGTCTGTCCAAGTCTTGGTTGGAAATTCTTGAGAGGGTTAATGCCTCAGCCACATCTCGTCGATGACTCTGCTTTGATTTTCATGGATTTGAATGGGGGCAGAGGGTTAGAGCAGTTAAATGTCTTCCTCTTCCATTGCCCACTGGCAGGGTTATGAGGTGGTTTGAAATAAATTCATGATTCTCTTCACTTCTTTTTATACATCTTTACTATACATGTCCATGGACTTTGCGTTACCAATAGCCTTTGGTTAAATTGTTCCTAAAAGCCTGGCTACTTTCAAAAAGTTTTGTGTTTGGTCTCGTCGTGAAGTAGGTTTATTTTCATGGACGAGGCCCTTGCCAGGTTTGAGTGTCTTGAATTTGAGCTGTCCAGTCTCATTCTTAATTGTGTCACTTCTACTACATAAATAAAAGTAAAGAAAGGGA